GGGTAGCGAGCAGCGGGACATGGAGCTACTGCTCTGCTTGGCTCCACACCGCCACCGCTCCGCCCAGCTTTGCGGGGGCCCCCAAAGTATGGGGCCCAAGCCAGTCGCCCTGATTCATGCGCCTCCAGGGACGGCCTTGGCCAGCAGGCACCCAGCCTGCAAAGGGAAACCCAGTTTCCCACATTTTTCTCCTTTAAATGTGAAAATTCACACTTTTCTGCAGCCACCGGAAAACCTGGATCCCTGTTCATCACACAGGGTGCTTTGCTGTAAAAAAAATTATACATAATTTGAATTCCAGATATTAAGTTATTTTGTAAAAAACTGTATTGAACATAAAAATGCATACCTATATTAGAATCGGACTGAAAGTCTTTCAGAGATACTGTGAGAGGTTTGTCTTTTCCTTGTTGGTTCTTTCTTTTCTCTTTCTTATTCACAGACTTTGAAGGAGGTGAAGGATTTTCAGCATTTTCATATTCCTGAATAATTTGAAGAAAATCCCACTGATTATACTACTTTATTTTAATGCAACAGTTCTTAGCCTTCCTGATCCCCCAACCTACCCGTCCACAATCATCTACAACTACATGCCCTATCCTCCTTGTGGGCTATTCTGCTAGACTTCCTGCAGGAACCTGACCTAGTCCTACACATTAGCTCTGAAATGAAAGTAGCATAGCCACATTCACATGCTGCTGTGACTAAGCTAATGAGCTCCAATTCTCAATAGAGGTAATTTATAGTGTAGCACTAAGATGGCTCTGCTGTTATCTGTGCCAGAATAGGACACACAGAGCAGGCTAGCACTGCAAAAAACAGATGGAAGGAGGGAATGGTTGACTCCCCAGCCCACATCTGTGTGGTCCACACATAGCAAACCCACACACTAGTGATTGAGGACCATTACTATAATGAACAACACAATTGGATATTTAATTCCTCTAAAGGCTTCTATTTTTAAAAAGTAAGTTTGGACCTCCAGCAATTATTCAATGTCTCTGATGGAAGAACTCTTGAGCGCACACCAATTGGTCTAAAGTAGGGGTCAGCAACCTAGGGCCCTTGGGCTGAATTCAATCTGGAAAGAGGTTGGATGTTGCTTAGGAAAGTATGACCCATCCTGGGGCAGCTTAGAGGGTCTGGTGGTAACTGCACCGAGCTGCCCATTTCCTCTGCAGCACTCCATGTTTCTCTCATGCCTATGCTTACCCTCACTGCAGGGGACATAATTTTGCAGCCCAGTGCAAAGAGCTAGGTTGCATTCTCTAACCTAAGGCAACAAACACTTACCAACCCCTGGCCTAAAGAATCAACTCTTTTCTTCAAACCAAAGTACAGCTTTTCATTAAAGATGTGGACAGAGTAACTGTTTAAACTGCTTCAAAAAAGGAGGGAGAGTTGTTCCCTTGAGTGTACATCAATTGTTACCACCTGAATCTATCTACATGATCCTGTAGCAATACAAGGTAGTCCAATCACTAATTTTGACTTCTGACTGTAGCACAGTTAAAAACTGAAGTGATCTTGCTACATCTCTGTCACTGCAGAATCATGTAACAGTTGCATCAGAACAGCTTATAGCCTACATTTGACGCTGATACATTTGTTACCTCTCTCTATGCCCTTACAGTACCAATGAACTGTAAATTAACAATCCCAGATAACAGTCATCTGGGATAAAACAGTTAAAAGGCATTATAATACAAAGCTACCAAAGAAACAAACAGAAAAACCCAGAAGCCTGCTCTTTTTTGACTTTTACTTGCAGTACATGGCTAGTCATTCATCTATCAACAGATCAACATTTTTTAATCATGTTCTACTAATTGATATAATAATTTAACCAAAATTTGACAACTAGTTTTAGAGATTTTTCAAAACTCAGATTGTTTCATTACTTATAACTCTTAAAAAAAAAAAAAAAAAGCCTTAGGATTTGAATGGGATGTTTTCCCCTCTCCCTTACCCCTCCTCTAAAATTAGTATTCTTATACCAAAATCAAGAAGCGGAACAGGCTATGATGGGGAACAGGGAAACAGAAATAATATAGAACATCATAGTCTACTTTTTAATAAACCTAAAAATGCTAACAGTGATTAGATAATTTTAATAAGATATACAAGATTTTCCTATGGCTTCTCCAAAATCTTGCAAATGCCATTTTTCTGTACTTGAAGAAAAGCCTTATTTTCCTTTTAAAAATCTGGATTTTAGAGCAGGCAAGTCATAGAAGTTAAAACCTTAGTTTTAAAAGCTTCAGCTTAAGTGTAGAGATTCCCTCAAAGCAAAAATCTTCACAAAGTTCTGCAGTTTGTCGAACAGAAGTACAAGATAGCTTAACACTAAATTCATAATAAATGTGCACACACATTTTTTGCTTTTTTTCTGATGTATGAAGTTGGTGGTAGAGGTTCAAACAGAAATTCAGATTTTATTTGCCTGATTACCAGTTAGAAAGGGAAGATTAAAATTATCTTGTTCAAAACTTTTTACATCTCCAATTGAAAATACCTTTAAAAAGCTGGGCAAAGAATGCTGAAGGTACAATAGGCTTACCACTTACAAATTAAGGCTTTTAAATGCTTACTGTGTTTCTAAGGAGCCCTTTACAGAAACCTCTCTCAAAAACCTCACAAACCATTTCCCTCCATTCCCATTTATATTTACACGATTAAAAAAACCCAGAAGATTCAAAAGATGTACAAACAATGTTTTCCCCATTTTCAGGTCATCTTTAACACAGCTACTTATAGATTACTTGAAATCTCCAGTGTTTCTCAACTCCTATACCCTTCAGAATTAAGAAAGTACAGAGATAATTTATAAGAAATTTTGCAGGAACTAAACCATTAGGGTTTTTTATTCAGAACTGAATAGAAGGCAAGAACTTGTACAATTTTAAAACTGGGGTGAAGTTAGCAAATACCTTTTTGTGCTCTTCATATTCCAGTTTGCTTAACAGTAATGCCTTTTCAAGATCTGCTTCAAACATTTCTGATGTCAGCTGAACAAAATAAAGACAGGACATTGTAACAGTTTTTTGTTGTTGTTGTTTTTAAGAGCCAAAATGGCCATCCATATCTAGTTTTGGCCTGTGCACCTTACAGCTGCTGTCAGAACACTGTTATGATGCAGTGCATGATTAACTAAATACAAGGCTTTGGGTAACAAGCGATCAAATATACCAGTGATGACAGTGTCACATAAGTGTGTAAAAAACATGCATAGTTTAGTCAATACAATTAAAAACAAATTCACATATTTTTAATTATATTTGTCTTGAAGTTCAGCATGCAAATGCTTAGAGGCAGCTGTAAGCATACAATATGACGTGTCTTTGAGGTGAGCAATAGGGGGGAAATAAACATCTCCTCAACTCTTCTGTGCTCAGGGAAGAGAAGTTGTAGGACAGGAAAGGTGATCTAACCTGTGCTGCCACTTTAAGGACAAACCGATAACCGATAATATAGTGTAACTGGGCTGAAGGTAAAGATTCCTCCAGAACTAGGGTTTCTGTAGAACAAATGGAAGTCCTTGCTAGTCAGGACCTACACAGAGCAGTAATATACAAGATGCACACACACGTGATTATTTTAATTAAAATACCTCATGATGTAGCAGTTATTTTGCTGCATATTACTTCTCTTGGAACCACTATTTTACATTATCACTGTTGTCACTGGCCAAATGGGCTGGAAAACAGAAGTCCCAGCCATCATCAAAATCATGCCCCTAGACTGTTGCTACCTTTGTTGGTTCATTCTTATTTCTTCTCTAATCTGCCATTTTTCCTCTGTTCTTCAAATTGCAATTTAGGTCTTTTCAGTCATTAATTCAGGCTGTTCAAGTTATTTACAATTTAGGGATAACTTTCTTGCCTCTGGAAACTGTGACCTTAAGAACTAACATGTTTTTAAGAGTTGTGTATTGCCTAACACACATGGTTTGTTAGATGTTCTACAAGCCTTGAAATTTTGGTAGCAAACCCTTCATCAGGCAAAACCCTCCAAATGAGTTTTGAATGAAGGAAGACTGACTAATATCCTTAACTTGAATAAAACCAAGTAGATGACTTAAGTAAATTCCTTTAATGTAATTGTATAGATACAGGAGGCATGGACACAGGGGAAATTCCATACAGGTATGAGTGTGCTAATATCTGAAACATTTAATTTATTCTATGACTAGTGGTCTGAAGTGCATACTAAATTGAAGCGACAGAAGGAAAGATGCCATTAACAATCTGGAAGATGGGATGGAGTGCACCCTCAGCAAGTTTGCGGATGACACCAACCTGGGGGGAGTAGAAGATGCACTGTAGGGTAGGATTAGGATTCAGAGACCTAGACAAATTGGAGGATTGGGCCAAAAGAAATCTCATGAGGTTCAACAAAGACAAGCACAAAGTCCTGCACTTAGGACAAGATAATCCCATGCACCGCTACAGGCTTGGGTGCCTTGACAACGACCCATGCTTTCGGGAGGGTGGATTGCTG